TTCAGTTTGCATGTTAAAAGCCACAAACATGTAGCTAACTATAGGCTTTCTTGTGGAACTGAGAACTGCCCTGCCACTTTCAGAACATTTTCTGCCTTCATTCACATATGCCTAGGAATCACAGAACAAGAAGGGAGACCACTGAGGAGGAGTTTTATAAATTCACTGGTGACCTCAGCTGTCAAGTTTCTGGATGTGGGTATGCTGCACAAAACTTCACAGCTCTTTGTGCCCTTCTCAGATTTTATATCAAAGATGGGGGGAAAAGCATTATGTCCGTTTGAAGGTTGCTCTAAATACTTCAGTGTCCGAACATCATTTTCCAGCCATATATATATATATATATATATTTTCCATTAACCTTTCGTTGGTAATGGTAGGACTAAGGTTGGAAATTGTGACAAACTGTAAAATATACTGTATTTTTCGATGTATTTTTCAACTTTTCAAGACCTTGAGTTTGTAGTTCTTTTGCAGTCCTGGGATTGATTTTCATCTTCAGACAAGGTCCCCAAAACTGCCTTTCTGTTAGTACTCAATCCTAATTGCAGGGTTCATCTTTTAGTGAGGACATATTTGTTGAAATAGCCATATAAAGTTGCTTTTCCAATGATCTCTCTCTCTCTCTCTTTTTTTTTATATGGCAGACCAAAGAATTTGAATGACACCATTACTCTGGAGCTTGGGAAAGATTTCCACTCCAACTGTCGCATGCAATCACAAGAGGAGACAGAGGTCATCCAGAGGACAGGAGAAGTATGGTTAGAATTGTTGTGGAGGCCATGCAAGTTAACTGCAGAAACCTTAAACGTGCATCTTGTGAAGAGGTTGCTAAGATCATTGTAAACAGATACCCTCAAACATTTGCAGATTTTACTGAAAAGGGAGAAAGACTGGGTTGTGGACATTATTCACTACTAAGAAGCATCAAATCTAGAGTTGAACATGTCAATCAAGATAATACAACACACAGACTTCATCAAACAAAGAAACCAGGAATGAGGAAGACTTTAGTCCCAACAAATTAGATTATTAGCTAATCCATAGTAAGTACACCTCATGATTCAACAGCTTGTAGAAGCAGCAACAACGTGATGTAAATGGGGGGGGGGTTGTGAAAGT